GTCTAGTCTCTAAAAGTGAATATCAGCAATTTCAGAGAGTGAATACTATACACTGACTCCCTGCAGTCTCCTTCAGATTCAAGACACATCTTAGGGTCGGCAGAGGACATGCAGTCTGTGTGCAGCTGTGTGTACGATGCACGTGTTTGATATGTACACATGTCATGTGGAGGCTAAAGGGAGGTCTTGTATGTTCTGCTCTATTGTGATCTTCCTTACTCTTTTGACGCAGGGTCTCTCGTGGAATCTGGAGCCAGGCTAGCAAGTCCCAGTGTCTTCACCACGCTGGATGCTTTATCTAACTTCTTTGTTTTTAACAATGTTTTGGGCACTTTTACTTCCATTTCACAGAGGAAGTGTTTTGAGTGGTCAGGATAACTGGACTTGCCTGTGGGAAGCTGCTCTGCTTCTGAAAAACAAAACTTCAAAAATCTTTGAATCAGTGTATAAATTAATAAGCACTGTGTTAGAGAGTTAAACTGTGTACTCAAGGCCGTAGAGAACGTCTTACAAAGTATAGGAGTTAGCCTCAACAAAGTCTTTGGATAAAGGAGAGGATTCAAAGATTAATTTTTTTTTTAAAAAAAATTGAATAAATATACTTTTTTTGTGTTTTTTCTTGGGACAGGGATTCTCTGCGTAGTTCTGGCTGGCATGAAACGTACCACATAGATGAGGCTTACTTTGATCACATAGAAATCCACATGTCTATGCCTCCCAGGTGCTGGAATTAAAGGTGTGTGCTATAGTATCTGACTAGACATTCTTACTAACTATAGATAGGTGCTGGCAAGATGGTTTGGGGGTGGGTGTCAAGGGGCTGCTGACCGAGCCTAACACCGTGTTTGATCCCTGGAAACCTACGTGGGTGTATGGAGAGAACCAACTCCTACAAGTTGTTCTCTGAAGTACATATGCATTATTGCTTGATCACGTGTGTGCGCGCGCGCTCACACACACACACACACACACACACACACACACACACACAGCACACATAAATGTAATTAGAAACTGGTAGGAATTCAGAAAAAAAAAAGGTGACTGAAATTTGTGCAGATGTTTTTAGTGTCAACACATGGCTGCTTCCGTTTTTCTAGTCAGATCAAAGGGGTTTCTAATATGGTTAACAACATGTTTCCAGTTAAAACAACATCAATTTATATGATAGTGTGATAAGAGTGTATTAGGGGGCTGGAGAGATGGCTCAGCAGTTAGCTCTTGCAGAGGACCTGAGTTTTTCCCAGTACTCCTATGGTAGCTTAGGACCATCTGGAGCTCTGGTTCCAGGGAAATCGGGTGCCCTCTTCAAGCCTCTATGGGCCCCTGTACACCTGTAGTGCATACACACAGCACTCAGGCAGTGAAACAAATGAATTTCAAAAGGATATCTGATTAACCGGGTGTGGTGGTACATACCTTTAATCTTGATACTCAGCCTGTGGGGGCAGGAAGACCAGGTGTTCAAGCCCAGATTCAGCTGCACAGTGAGTCTGAAACTACCGAGGGCTACACAGTACCTTATCCTAAACAACAAAGCAAAACAACAACAACAAGGACAACAAAGGAAGAAGAAAAGAAAAGAAAAAAGAAAGCTAGGACACTGGCTAGGACACTTGGGGAACTCTAGTATTGTTTTCCTCATGCACAACCATCATATGGCATAATACGGTACAACTCCTGGATATTAACCCAAGAAGCAAAACTCAGCACAATCAGTTTGCAAGAATTACCACGACAAATGATAAGAGACATGGATGCTTCCTTACACTCAGAAGTCACCCTTAGGTAGTATGTGATGACATCCACCCATGACAAAGGGAATCTTCCTGTTTGAATTCTGTACCGCCAGGTATTTTCCTCAATAGCCATGTTCTCATATTCAATATTTGAACACATCCAGTTCACTCACTGAAAGTGAGGACATGTCCTTTGAGAGAGAAAAGATGCGTGGAAAGGTTGCTCATTTAGCAACGTCTGCACAAACCTTTGGCTAGATTAATTTTATTGGTTGAGATTGATAGGAGCATCCTTTGGAAGGTGAAGGGACTCTCATGTGAGCCTTTAGAGGGCAATGAGCTCCAGGAGAAGTGCCATTGCATATGGCACCACTTGGAACCAAAGGGCTGCAGCTCCTTTATGATCCATGGACCTGTATCAATCTTTCTGCCCCAGCATCTCTGTATCTCCTTCCTACCTACCTCCTATACTCACATATGCACTGTCATCGTGGGAGAGATGGAGGTTTATTCTGCGTAAACAATTTGTCCATTGGCCGCTCTCTGAGTCTGCCAACCAGGTTGCCAATTCTGATGTCGACACCTGTCCATTTGGAACAGGAATGAAAACAGCCACTCATTTTCTAGAAACCATCAAACACCCTGTCTGTGAACAACAGCTCTCCCTTAACTGCAATATGGGCAAGACAAGAATGGGTCACACAGACAGATAATTGCCGATCAGAGCCTCCAAGACTCTCAATGTCCTCAAAATTGAAACTTTCAGATCCCTTCAGTACAGTGCAGTTTGGGAAGAGTCACCATTTTAGGACGGACACAGTGCTAAAGCAGTCATCTTTGTTATGGGATTGAATTTCATTATCAGGACTTGCTAATGAGAGGATAAAGGTAATAGGTATTTTCAGGTGGCTTTCAAGATGACATTCTCCGTGTGTAGATAGCACAAAAATTATGTCCGATCACGTTACAATTGGATTCTGGAAAAATATGCATACTTTCTCATACTATCAAGTCTCTCTCTCTCTCTCTCTCTCTCTCTCTTTCTCTCTCTCTCTCTCTCTCTGTGTATGTGTGTGTGTGTGTGTGTGTGTATGTCTTTGAGCTTTGGGTACTGGAGGCCTCTTTGACACTTTACCTTTTTCTCTGTCCTTTGTATTATGAAACACTGTCCCAGTCTTTGTGAGGAAACATCCCCACGAATCTTACCTCCTGGCAAATATTTCAGTCACTGCTACCAATGACTTGCAGATGACATGTCACTACCGAAGTGAACTTTCAGGGCAGCCTGTGCCTGCCTTTGGGAGCTCCTGCCTGGCAGAGGCTGGGGACTAATGTGGGTTTAATGTTGTTATGAGCCAGGCAGCTGAGCTGGGTAACAATACGAGTCTGTTGGACATGTCTTCTGGGTTGTCACGTTCAATTTGCACATGACCTCCTGGCCAAAAAATGGGAAAGAAGTGGTAGAATGTGGGACTGAAAGCTCATATTATTGCTTTGACAGCTTCACTCATCTAGAAGTAATGCAAAATGCAATTTATATTTATACACTCTGACCTCCTGCACAGAGAGGGAAAGTATCTAATGATGGGCCGAGGTAGTGGAGGAAGAAACAGATCTCAATACAGCTGGAATTTGTCTACGTTTCTGCTCCTCAACCATTCAATTACAGTCAAAAGACAAATGAAGCAGGGACAGTGTGCTGCTGAGGTAGTGACACAATTATTTTATAGTGACTGGCTTCTGGCTTTGAGTCTTGGCAAAGGAGGCCACAACACGCCTTATTTCACTGGAGACAGATAATCTGCTTGCTCCCAGTGGACAAAGGCCCTCTGCTTGTAGGTACGTCATTCTGCCCATCACAGAGGAGAAAAGACACCAGCCAGTCAGTGACACTCTGGGTATGCACTTGGAAGTTCTTGAGAGAGGCTGACACGTTAATCCTATTAACCAAGATAAATCAAGTCAGGCCTGGTGGTAACTGGGGCATTATTCACTTTTGAGTGGAAACAGGCAGAAGGCAGAAAGTATCATTTTCTTTTGTGCGACAGGAAATTTACTGGCTTTTACATGTGTCTCCACATAGCTTCATTTTGAACGGGATCCAACAGCTAACCGGGAAAATGAAGGTATCATTGTCTGGATCCTCAGATCTGACCTGAGTATTCTGACTAGTGTTTTTAAATGAGCAGTTCTTTCTGTAAAAGTTAGCTTCCTAGGGCAGGAGAGGAGAAATTCAGGCTCTTCCTGAGGATGGAAAAAGACAGAACTGGTCAGCTTCACAGAGCTGGTGGTGCTGGCAGAAAAATATCAAACTCCCACTTTTGGTCTGCATCAAGAGCCTTGCTAGAGAGCCACAGATCAAACTTGAGATGTAAACAGAGAGGCGGGAGGACTATCGCCGACAAGGCAGTACAGAGCTGTGAAGTGTCCTTTCCTTTGGCTATTTTACTTTTTTTTCTTCTTCTTTAGGGGATTAAAAAGCCACTCCTGCTTAAGTTTTCCCAGATAGCAACTTTTCTCTACTGTATCTCCCCATTACATCTAACCAGTGGCTTCTTATGTAGAACTCTCAAATGTCTTTTCTTCAAGCTGGACACAATAGGCTCTCTGTGTAGGAATATTGTATGAACCCGACTCTCGAACAGAATCGTTTCAGTTTCTCTGCCTTATCGGGCTAGGGCACAAAGTTTCCCATCTTCTAGAAGGAAATCATCTGCGGGGTTGAGCTGCTCTATTTCTCAGCTTTCCTGGATTTTGACAGTATTGATTTCAAGTCCTTAGTAGCTTCCCAGTGCTAGCAGAAGGTAGTGTGTGAAGTGAGAGAGGCACAGGGGACTCAGATGTGCACATGGGGACAGTGTTTATGTCCTTGGGGACACCCAAGCGAGATGTTTCTAAGTCTATCTTACGTGCACTGTATGTAAGAGATATGCTTATGTATACTGTATATAAGGCATAAGGGCTAACCAGAAAGCCCTGGGGGCGGGGGGGGGGGAATGGGCTGTTGGCAAAGACAGTCTCACACCTCTCCCCTCTCCCTTTGGGAACAGAGAAAAGGAGTTGTAGGGTTGAAGTGAAGACCTACAAAGGGAGGAGAGCCACATGGCATGGTGACACAGTCTTCTGGCATGGCCAGCAAGCATATCCTTTATCCCAAAGACAAGATAGTAATGTAGTTTCAGGAGCCCTTGTTTGACTCCCCTTTCCCAGTCAGCTGCCCTCACTGACCTGAATTCCTCATTCTCCTCTACCCTCCCCCAGGTGATATTGCAACCACGGACTCCCTAGACTCACCAAGTGTTGAAGACACGGGGGCACAATTTCTGGGAGACTCAGGCACCACCAACACCCTTACTTAGAATATTCTATAGTGACTTCTGGAGGGGTTGGCCAGGTAAGAAACTGTGTAGTTTCCTAAATACATCCAATTAGTTTTGGTCAACAGTGAGGCCGGGAAGACAGCTTCAGGATCACACCAAGTGTCTTGTGGAACACACCCCCAACTGGGGATACGAGCTCAGTGGTTGGGAACCCACCTTACCTTTTTGCACGTGCAGTGAGGGCAGAAAACCATGCACAGTGCTTCTTATTTTGATCCGAGAGAATTATAGGATAGTGGAAACAGAGGAAGCAACTTGATAGCTAATCCAGGGGAAAGCTCCTAGGACATTGACCTAGGAGGAACCATAAAATCTTTTTTCCGTCCCTCCCTGCCCCCACTCTGTGCTTCTCTTCCTCAAGCCCACTTTGCCCAAATAGTAAAGTGGAGATAAGGCCTTTTATTTGAGGACTGCTTCTCAACAGAGTGTAGTATGTAGCCTTACAGGTCCAGAACTTTCTCATAGCCCAGGTCCTTGGTGAGGCTGGGCATAGACCAAGCCTGAGGCTCCGCCCCGGGGTGTCTAGGGATGCTAGCCCCCTACCTGAGGCCTCCTAGAGTGTTAGGGGCTATGGAACAGCTAGTTCTCTGTAGCTGGCCCTGCAGGAGTTAAAGCCCCAGACAGACAAAAGCGAGGCCGCGGCGGCTCCTTTTCTCGGCTGTCAGCTGCAAATAGAACCGCTGCCCTCTGGACTTTAACTCCCGACAGAAAGGGCATTTTATTACAGGCTATGACAAGTCGCAGGGAGAACCGCGGAGAACTCAATAAGAAGGAGCGGCGAGCGGAATCAAAAAACGCTCGGAATGTTTGGAAGACGGAGCGAAGATGGCTCCAAATGATAGGTGTGAGCAAGACTCAGGGTCGCGGCTGCGGGCTGGGCGGGGTGGGAGCCGCGCGGGCGATCTTGCCCGCTGCGGAGGGGCAGGACGCATCCCCAGGCTTCGATGGCCCAGACACCGATGCCCAGAGCCCACGGCCTCCTCCAGCACCCTCCCAGTAGCCGCGGCCGCTGCTGATTGTCCCGGGAAAAGCTGGCCTAGACCCTCCCCAAATTCGCAACTTTGTTGTGTTTTTCATTGGCAGGTGGGAGAGTCTGCCCTCCCGGTCTGTTTTCTCCCTGGGGCTCTGAGAGGACCAGGCTGCTACGTCTAGCCTTTTCCAAACTTCTACTAGACTTTATTCGAGTTATTCTCAACTCCACCCCTCCTCCCACGTCCCCGGTCCTCCGAGCTTCCCTCTTCTCGCGAAGTTAGCCAGGGAGCGGGGAAAAAAAGACTCTAGAGCAGAGACAAACTTTCTGCTAGTATTTTTTCCCCGCCCCCTCCCACCCCCCGGCTTGCCACACAGTAAGGTGGCCGCAGTCTCAGCCGACTAGAATCTTTTTTGGCGGAACTGATAATTTCGCTAGGCGGAGGAAAGTGTCCTTCTCTCTGCTACCGTCCCCTCCCCAACCCCGCCCCAACAGTTCCTTAAACGCCTTTCATCACCCATCTCCAGTGAAAAAAAGCAGTGCTGCTCAGAAACTGGGATTGGGAAGGGACTACGGAGGGGGCTACAACTCGGATACAAAGTGAATAAACTGTAATTAAGAAAACAATAAATAAATTTAAAAAAGAGAAGCTGTCCAGATCTAGAGAACCTGCTCTGCCCTAAAGCGCACTGTAGAGCAGGGCACCCCCACCAGAACGTAAGCACCCCGGCTGGATGGAGAGCTTGGAGGGGTCAGGTTGGCTTGAGGAATGGCAGCTCAGTTGGAGAAGGCTGGGGAAGGCTCAAGGGACTTTTGACGAAGCCCGGGAATACAACAAGTGAACTATGTTTATCCCAGCTTCGGCCCCAGAGCCCCTGCTAAGAAAGGCCGGGCTGGTAATTGCCAAAGCTAGTCACCCACCCTCCAGCCCCCCAAGCTCAGCCCTAGGAAGACTTTTGACAGTTGTACTGGAGGCACAGTACAAATGGCTGAAAAAACAAAACAAAACAAAACAAAACTGCAGTTCTCTCTTCCTCTTCCCTTTCAAAAATTCATGCAAGTGAAATTGTGAACAGTCTTGTCCAATTCCATAACTGAGGCAAAGAGTAGAAACATTGCAAATTCATAGCTTATGGCACGAACTTTCCTGCTTCCTGTGTCCTGCTTGGTAGAAAACAAACAAAACATAGCTAGAAGCTTTTGGGTTCTTGTTTCATTGGAGAGATTGTACAAAGTCCGAGGTTTTAAAAGGTTGTGGCTTCAAACAGAGCAGCTCTTGGAGACATTTAGCTTCCTCTCCAGGCAGCAACTCAGCGCTTCCAACCTTGTTTCTCAGCTCCGCTCCAAATTTTATGTTCTTTTCTTTCCCCTTCAGAATTATTATTATTATCATTATTTTGTCAAAGTGTATCTGATTGGGGTAAATACTAATTCTTCTCTCTGGAACCCTGTTACATTCTGGGAGCGCTTGCCTGAGATGATAAGCAGACCCCAACTTCCAGTGTCTGAAAAAAGTAGGAGAAAGCTCATGTCGTTAGAGCTGAGTCTGAAATGTGCCCCTGGTTCCCCCGTTGTGAGCTGAATAACAGTTGCAAAAATGGACATTAAGCTTAAATAGCCACAAAACTAAGAGTGTGGGAGAAAACACCCCACAAAACAGAGAATTTTTACTAACAACGAAGTTGTAAGATGAATGTGATGGGAGCTATTTCTCCTTCTGTCATGGTGTACCACTAGCACTAACTGGACCATGAACAGAAAACTGTATTTCCCTTCTCTTGTATTATTTTGTTAGAAATCTTTTCAGAATTAAACAAATGCAGAATATTTGTTCTCCAAAAGGCTATCTGCTCACCCCTGGGGTGAGCACTGTGAAATGACACCATTCTTTTCATTAAATAAGTAGCATATGAAATCATTTTTTAAAAGAACCTGTTAAAAAGTTCCTTCAATATTTTGGTTTTGAAATGGTTTGGAGAAGACAGTTGTAAACGAAATTACTTCTTTGGCATGCTCTGCATAAATGTGTGTCTTCAAATATCTGAAAGTATAGTAGGGCACAGAGAAGAATGTGAGCCAGGTTGAGCGTTGTGCTCCCAGACCCTGTGTGCATCTGGGAAAAGTAAATGTAAAACTCAATCTTCAAGTCTGTCCATTTCCTTCCTCCCCCACCCATCTCTCCTTCAGTCTGGAATCTTGTTTTAATTTATATTTCAGAATATAACTTCAGGATGCTTTAAAGTTCCCTGGGCTTTCATTTTCTCATCTGTGTCTAGCACTATGTCTTTCTCTGTTTTTGGGAAGGACAAATTACTGTAATAAAGAGACATGCATCTTTAATTTTTCCTAGACCCTTGTAGAAAAAAAGAAGAAGAATGGGGAGGAGGAGTTTAAGGCAAAGACAGTGGAAGCTGTCCACAGCATGGCTCTGAAAAGCAGCACCACTGAAGAAAGGTCACTTAGACAGAGCCAAAGTAAGAACCAGCATGGCAAACAGCTACTCTTGCTTAGGTGGTCTTACTGAGGGAAGAAGATGAGCTGAGAGATAGCCTCTGGGGATTGTATGATGGAAGCAGGAAGTAGGGTGAATTTCTAAGGAGGAATCAATGAAAACGGAGAAAATCCCAGGATTCCCCTCTACATCCTAACCTTTGCAAAAATTTCAAGCATCTTGCTGAGGTCATGAAAAACGGACAGCAAGGGAACATCAGTCGCTCTAGGAAAGCTGAAGGCTGTTTCACTCCCTTTGGTAAAAGAGTTGGGGGAGGGCATTTGTTTTTGCCGTTTTCCTCCCTTCTGAGACTTGGCATAACAAACTCAAGTAGCTGCCCTCACCCTTGTCTATCTTCCTTAGCAAACTTGACATCGTGGAAGAAACATGACATGCGGGTTATTAAAGAGCTGCTGGCTGACTTTTAACCTTGGGTGCATTGCTTAGACCCCATTACCTGTGCATTTACCCAGGAATGCATTACAAGAATTACAGGGTATGTAAGCCACAAAGAGGAGAGGAGAAAGCAGAGGTAAGAGGTTGTAAAAATATGAGGGAATGGTATATCTTACCATTTCGACACTCAAATGGATGAGTAATACATGTCTGAAAACTAACTGCTCCTTTAAGAAGGGGGTCACTCTCTATGTCCAAGGAGAAAGAGGTGAATTCAAAGAAAGTTCAGCATCTTCACTCTAGCTTTCAGTGTCTTCAGAGAGAGAGAGAGAGAGAGAGTTTCTTAGGATTTTAAAACTGTTTATTTTAACAAATTCTTAGCTTTAACAACAAAAGCCATATCAGGGGCTCTTCCTACCTCCCTTCTTTAAGATGCAACTTCTACTCTAATTCAGTTACAAGCACTTTTCCAAGGGTGAGAAACTTCGTGTGTTATGGTGCATGGTCCATAGACATTTTCTAAGTCAGAAGTAGAGATTTCAGAGAGTATTTAATTCGCACAACTGATAAAACGATTTAAAAAAAAACATCGGAAATCATTCAGGCATTGAGGCAAAAGTAACTGTGTGTGTGTGTGTGTGTGTGTGTGTGTGTGTGTGTGTAGTGTACACCTAATTAAGCCACCATTATCCTGTGGATTTTTGTTTCCAGGCAGCTGTTGATGGAGCGAATAGGAAAGGATTAATCAACTATCTAGGATGTTCTTTCAAAATTAACAAGAAAGCGGTGTACAATAAGCTAATAATAAGAATGACTAATAAGAACTATTACCATTACTGCTTAGCCCTTTGGGTACAAATTTGTCTATCTTGTTGCCAAGGCAAAGGTAATAATTGAATCTATCCTAAATCTGAGTGATGGAGTAGTCAGAAATGACTCTATCTGACAGAAGAGCCAGGAGGCAAGTGATGGATACTATTGTCTGGACGTGACCCTACATTAACACTACCTATCAGCATCTGGATCCTGTCACTGGTCCCCATCCCAGAGCCAAGAGGGCTGCCTGGCACAGTGCAAGCACCTCCACGGTTTCCATGCCGCGCTCTACCCTTTGCCAACCGCATAGGTGAGGAAACTAAGCTAAACCCTGCTCCCTGTGTCTCCATCTGCCTTATTGCCCCTCTCCACACCCATTGTTTGACAGGCGCTGGCAGTTTACCCCTTATCTTGCCTGTTTATGAGGGATTTCTAAAACTAATAACAAAGGAAGAAGTGGTATTAATATTAATTAACACCATAAAATGAAACAGTTTTGGGATTTCACCCAGTGAATCCCCTCAGTCTCTAATTGGAGGAAGGGGAGGGGGAGGAGAAGGGGAGGGAAAGAAAAAAAATGTGTGTGTGTATGTGTGTGTGTGTGTGTGTGTGAGAGAGAGAGAGAGAGAGAGAGAGAGAGAGAGAGATACAGATGACCTACTGGGTGACAGGCACAGGTTGGAAGGGTGACATTTTATTGTAAGCCTCCCAATGAAAGGAAGAAAAGGAAGGGACCAGTCAATTTAATGCAGGGACCAAGGGTGCAAGAGTGTTGCTAAGAGACAGAGATGCTGCTAAAGTTCTAGCACAAGCCCTATTCTGACCTTATGCAAATAGAGGCGGCCAACTCTTTGTGGAACGGCTGAAAATTCCACCCCCTGTGTCACCAATACCTGGCATCGAGCCTTTCATTCAAATGTTCTCTAAAAACACACACAGAGGATGTGACAAAGTGGGACACATCCAGGGGCTTTAACACACGCAAAACTCACCAAGAATATGGGGGAAGAGTAATAACCCTGATAATTTTAAATGGGAGGGGGGTGGTCAATGGCAGATCTTCCTGGGGAACATGTCACCCGTCTCTACCTTCTGTCACTGTCATCTTCCTTTAGCTGTAAAGCAACCTGAAGAGTCAGAAATTGCCCTCTCCTCGAAGAAATAGCAGCCTATTAAGATACTGCAGTAGTGCCCAGAGTATTGTCATTAATTCACACCCCGAGGAGTGTGAGAAGGGATGGTGTGAGGGCGGGTGGAGGGGATGAGAAAGCTTGGCGCAGAGCAGAGCACTCACAGCACTTTATCCTGTCCCCCAAACCAAAAAGAAAGAAAGGAAAATAGAAGAACTTTTCACTCCTTCCCTTCGACCTGTCCACTCTGGAGGAGAAGATTGTATTTTAGAAGAAAGAAACTCAGGGGAATAAGTCTCTTAGGGAGTCGCATATTCTTAGAGTTCACATGGGAAGGCTGACAGGGCAGCCTGTGTCACTGACAAGCCAGCCGGTGACTCTGGGTACCGGCTGTAGGAAAAGGTCGTTGTCATTATGGGGGGGGCGGGAGGAGTAGGTAGGTGCCTTTGAGGATTTACCTCCTCCCCCCTTTGTTCAGCGCCCTCAAGCTGAGGGGCATGCTCTGCCACCTGGCCCTGAGTGCCAGCAGGTGAGCTATGAATTGGAGCAGGATGCTGTTAACAGGCCTGACCTGGGGTTGCAGGCTCTGGATCTCCCCTCCCACACACACCTTCTGCAGCATTTTCTGGTGCGGCCTCACTCCCACCGGTCCCCACTCCTTTTCACCTTGAGTCAGCCCCAGGATTTGACGGAGGTAGGGCTTTCCTCCGCGGCAGCACGCCTGCCCTAGCGCAGCCCCAGGGACTGCCAGCAGCTAGAAGCCGACCCAACCTGGAAAGCTCCTGGCTTGTTCCTCACTCCTTTCCCACGGAACAGAAGAACAGAATCATTTTCTCAAAGTGAGGGCAAAGCCCGGCACACACAACTTGGAAAACTCAATTTAGTCAGCCTGCTTTTTTTTTTTTTTTTTACATGTCACTTCCTCCCTCTCTTGATTTCAATATTGATAACAGGCCCACTGCTTCGCATCTTTAGGATAATAGTTGCAAATGAGTAGCCTCCTCCCCTCCCCCCTCGACTTGGGAACATTTCAAGCTTTCAGCGGCAACTAACTTCTCAGGGTAACTTCTCCCTGAGACCCCCCTCCCCTTTTAATGGTGGGACTTTTCATGATGTGCACAATACTATTAAAATTTCATATTAGCACTGTGTACGGTGAACTTTGTAATAGGAAATTCAATAGCTGCTGTAAATATTAATGGAATATGAAATGAAGCCACAGCCTCTACCAGCCCTGACAGTAAAACGGAGTGAGCGTGTGGCGGCCCCGGGGGCGAGAGAGGCCTTTCCTCTTGTCGCTCTCGCTTTATTACATTAGCTCCGGCCTCCCCACGCCGGCGTGGGCTCTGAAGCCGAGGCGCTGGGTCACCCATGACAAATGTCCCCGTGTCTCACCAACAGGCCCCGCCTGGCCCTGCCACTCCATCTGCTCAACAGGCCCCGGGAGAGTGTTTGCGGGTGTCAGTTTCGGGGGCACAGCGCTCTGGAGAGAGCCAGGTTTCCAAAAAGGTTGCGGTGGTTTCGGAGCCTCTCAGGCCGTCCACTCCCTGGACCCGGGGGGAGGGGAGGACTCCGAGCAGCGCGTGTTAACGAACCCCAAGTGGCTTTCTAGGGTGCAAAGAGCTACTCGAAAAGCCAGACCGCCCACTCTTCATCTAGACCCGCGGCCCTCCTAGCTCTCCCCCCAAGCCCCAGCCCAACCGCAGCCCTGACCTGCAGGGCGGGGCTCAGAACCCGCCTTAGGCTCTTTTTCATATATATATATATATATATATATATATATATATATATATATATATA